ACCACCGGACATCGAAATAGATGTTCTGACCGACAATGATTTCGAGAAACATGTCGTCAAGAACCTATACCTTGGGCTATGATTTTGAAAAACAAATGAAAAACTCGAATATAGCTACGAGTGATGAAACGTCTATAAGAGAATGCTGTATACAATTTGTGATTGAGCTAATAAAGCAGTTGAAGCAAAGGTAACATTCTTTAAATTACATTTAATTTTTAAGTTTATTAATTTCCTGTTTTTCAGACTTCCCGACAATTATGAATTGTTAAAGCAAATAGATTTATTTGCAGTTGGTAATGTTTTAAAAAACAAAAAACCAAGCATTGTTCCAGTCTTGGAACACTTTGGTATAGCGAATATTGACCAAATTGAACTTCAGCACAAAAGCGTGAATATTTTAAATTGGGAGAACAAGGACGACACGTTGCAGTTTTGGCTGGAAGTTAACGCATACCGCGATTCTGGTGGAAACCAGAGATTTAAGGAGCTCTCCACCATTGCTTTACAAGTATTGTCGTTGCCGTGGTCCAATGCCGAGGTTGAGCGAGTGTTTAGCCAGGTCAATTTGGTTAAATGCAAACACAGAAATCGGTTGAATATTGACACATTAAACTCAATTTTAATCATCAGGTAAAATGACTTAAATATCTTAAAAATATAAACTACATTTAGTCAACATTCCAGATCAGGTTTGCAGCGTCATGGCAAGTGTTGCCACAACTATAAATTGCCAGAAAATGTTCTGAAGATGATCGGAACATCTAAAAATAATTATGTTGACGAAGAGGCAGTCGATATAGATGAAATTATTAAAAACTTTGAATAAAATGACTTTAAAAAAATGTAGGGTTTTTTTTTAGCTTTTTTTAAATGATTTTTGGGTTTTTTTTTTGCTAATCTAGCGTTTTTTTCGGGAAAAATTATGGCAACACTGACTACATGGTCAACATGTCGACTGCCCTTGTACGTGCATATGGTGTTTACGAACGAGACCTGCTGGAAGCCGCGGTCCGAGGGACAACAGGCCACTTCCCACCGCTCGTTGGCCACCTCGTGGACGACCTTAATGACTGGCCCGTCATCATCTGCGTTCTTTACGTGCAGATCAATGTAGTCCGTAAAGTTCTTGACCGTGAGCTTGTTGCCGTTGAGGAAGACGGAAACACCCTTCGAGGAAGCGGCCACATCGTAGGCACGACGCGACATAAGAGCCACAATATCATCGTCGAGGCGTTCCATCTTGAATTTGGCCAGATCGGGACTGAACGTGATGCGGGTAAAGTCAGTGCCACTAAACTCCTTGATCTGTAAGGTGTTAAAAGGGATTAAAGCATCCTTGGAGATCTATTTATGTATTTGAATGTACCTTAACTTCGGAGGCCTTGCCCATGTTGTCGGCCCAGGTCTGTTTGAAGCTTTTCTTGTATTGCTTCGTGGCAGTTTCCACGGTGAATGTAGTGGAAAATACAATCGTGGACATAAGTATTTTGACACAGCTGTTAGCTATATTCCAGCGCGTGTATCTTAGTACTCGTAAAAGTTACGGGATCCATTGTACTTTGCAGTAAGAGATTCTATTTAAAACTTTAAGAGAGCAAAATATGACACTGATAAGTAAATTAACTTCTTTGCTATGTCACGTGATGTGAGAGATCATGCATTTTTGGGTGGACAAAAATATTTTGACATTGCATTCATTTAGTTCTCATTTGTTTCGTATGCATTAAAAACAGTTTATTGTTATTTATAACTCAGGCTTATTAATCTGTTAGCAGCTTTAATACATTTTTGTCAATTTTCCTAATTTCTGTACCGTTATTTAATGAAAATATGGGTAAAACACGGGAGCTAAGCCAAATCCAGCGAAACGAAATAGTAATTAAGTACCACTCAGGTATTTCGGTCCAGAACCTCAGCATATTTTATAAAGTACCCCGACAAACCATTTACTATCAAATTAACAAATATAAACAGACAAAAGGGCGACCACGCAAGACTTCGCCTAAACAAGATCGTCTAATTCTTTCAAAATTTAAAGATAATGACCTTATTATACCAAATCCAGCTTCCATGGAAGTTCAAAACGATTATGATTTTTAAATTAGTAGAAAAACAGTTGAAAGAAGACTTAAAAAGGCTAACTTTGCTACTTATGTGGCCCGTCAGATACCTTTCATTTCACTTAAAAATGAGTTGAAACGATTAGCCTTTGCCAAATCCTTTTGAGAACAAATGTTGTGGACCGATGAGAGTTCTTTTGAGTACCATGGTTCAAAAAATAAAATTTACTGCAGATTACCAAAAAATATTCGCAAGAAAGTGGTACCTCTCATTCAACGTATACCACATGGTGGCGGCAGTGTCATGTTTTGGGGATGTTTCTGCTTTAACGGTATCGGTTATTTGGTCCCCATCAATGGGACGATGAATTTGCATATCCTGATTGACCACGAATTTCTTACCGGCGACAGACTTAACAGGCAAGACTTTATCCTGCAGCAGGATAATGTTCCATGCCACAAAGCAAAAATGATAACAACATTTTTCAGGGACTTTGAAGTAAAATCTTTAGATTGGCCACCCAAAAGTCCCGATCTCAAAACGTATGAGGGTCCAAACTTAACAAGAACTTGAGAGGAGACAATTTATTAAGTCGAAGGACTATGGAAGGAAATTTACCTTGAAACGCTTCAAAATTTAGTCAAATCTGCTCCAACACGATTACAAAAGGTAGTAGATGCCAGAGAAGGGATTATTTTTTACTAATTTCTACTCATTATTAACATTTTTTGCAATTCAGATTAAATTTCTAACAAATTAGGTTATGTCAAAATACATTTGGCCTCCCACTTTAATGAATTTGTATTTTTAGTTTATAAGATGTAATATAAAATGTAATATTTTTGTTGTTTTTTATTGTCTTATTACACTATTGTTATAAATAAATTTCATTGATCTTTTTTGGATAAATAAATTAAAGTTTACAACACAAAATGTGAATTTTTATTTATGTCAAAATACTTATGTCCACGATTGTATGTTGCAGAGCTTTGCACCATAGCCGTTTCTGCCGCCAGTCACCTTCTTTTCATCGTCGTTGTAGTTGGAGGAAGAGCAAGTGGCCAAAGATCATAGTAGGAACGTACATCTTTTGCTCCTTGTGCATGGTCACCGGAATACCCTGACCGTTGTTCCAAATGGACACAACATTGCGCTCCGGATCAATGTCAATCGTGATGGTATTCATAGACTTGTCGCGCTGCTTGTTGTCCGCCGCATTCACCAGAATCTCGTTGAAGATCTTGTACAGGCCAGGCACAAATGAGATCTCCTTTTGGACCATTCGCTTCTGTTCAGAGTCGAAGACCCACATCAGCTCCTTGGTGAACTCTACGGATCCAATGTAGGAGTCCGGTCGCAGCAGAATGTGCTCCAGCTGCGACTTCTTCTGGTACATCTGCTCGATGGACATGCCGCCGCTGCCGTTCTCCATGATTCTGTTTTTGTTGTGACTCTTCCGTTGTTGCCTCTTCTGTAAAGATCAAAAATTTAATTAGTTGGTCAGCGAGGCAGACTGTACGCAGTAAAACTGAAACTTTGAACTTTATAAATGGGCTCTCTATACCGGCACCGCCATTTTTAATTTGCAAGCGAAAAAAAAACTACGTTTGCAGAAAATCTAGCGTCACCTTAACAATTGACTTTCTTCCATTTTTCCCTCAACTAACAATTTGCGATGCCGTCTGGGTTTTCCTTACCTGGCCCAAAAGTTACACAGTTTCTGCGGTGTTTAGTCGCTGCTGCCGCTCAACAACGATCACGATTTTCACCACTTTTAACAAAAATTATGGACTTAACTCGATTGTTATAGCCGGAAATGAGCTTATTTATAGTGTTGGCTAGCGCGTATGGACCATGTGAAGATTAAAACAATTAACGATGAAATTGGAACATGAAATTGAAATAATAAATGATAAATGTTTATTATCTCTATTTTTTTTTTTTTAAAGAGTGTAGTAATTAAAAAAAAAAACAATTATTTCACAAAGTTTAAAAAGCTTAGATTAATTATACATGTCAATCTTTGAGATATACCACTCTGTTGAAAAGTTATTTTTAAAATAAAAATTAACACGTAACTGTTATTTTCAATTTTAAAAATAAAAATTGGAGAATAATTGAATTGATAATTGAATAATTAGAATTAATTTCCTATTTTTTCTATATAATTATAAAATAACTCTTATTTTATAATTTGCATTATAAAAATTATAACTGTTACGATCCCTGCTTTTTTCACACATTTTTGTTTTTTATATAAACTTTGGCCGCTATATCACACGTTAAAACGGATTTTTATCGTCAACATCAGAGAATAAAATACAGAGCTTACATATATCCACATCCAAAAAAGATTTATTAAAAAATGACTATTAAAAAATGCAAATGCACTAAGTGGAAATACGATATAAGAGAGCAAATTACATGTGTAATGTGTAAAGTCAGTTCGAAACTATTCTATGGCGATAACTTGTACATCGATAAATCTTCGTAGGTCAGTGCTGATAGCCGGCAAATCGAGAAAAAAAAGTGTTAAAAAACGTGGCCTGGGCCTGAGAGCATTTTTTCTCAGAAAGCTGCGTTGGCAAGATGGAAAACTTCGATGAAGGCATTTCCAGCCAGGATTCCGAGGCCCAACCCACCACAAACAATAGTGTGATTGAAATACTAAGTGGAGATGAAGATCAGGAATCAGAGGCTGAACTTATTGAAATCAGTGGAGATGAAGACTTCGGTAAAATTGATACAAAGAACCTAAATGGTGACAGTTTCGCTAAGACTGTAAATGAAGTTACGGGTCCAAATGTGCCTCCTGTTTTGACTGCGTCTGCATCAGGAGCAGCCGTAGCAGCACCTACCCAGGGCAACGCATTGAAGCGCTTAATGAGCGATCAGCCAGAGATGCAGGTGGTTGCCAAGAAAGGTATGACTTATAACTACTGTTTATCAAATATTTGTATAATGCACCTTTGGCGATACTTCTTCTTGGGTAGGGCACCGATATTTAGAGTTGTAGTGTCCAGTTTATTCCGCAGGTTAGTAATGTAAGTGGTTGATAGGTTCAAGCGATTCGCCTCCAACCTCTGGCTGAACTGCTTCCTGATCGCCTCGAACACTAGCTGGACCTGAGACTCGAGCTCATGGGTTTCACCCAAAATGTGCTTATTATACAGTTGTTCACAAGCAGCCTTCATGGAAGTTCTCACGGCCACGACGCACTGGTACTTAGGGTTGTCCTGGTATAACGCCATGAATGTTCCAAAGAGTCCCATCAGGTAGTTGGCCACCTTCTCCTGGTCGTAGGAATTCAGCATTCGGTTAAGCGCCTCCAGGTAGGCGACATCCGCTTGGATCAGAGTGTTCGGGTTGAGATTTCGATTATGGGCGACCTTAAAGTAATCCATGAGGCTTATTCCATGCACTCTTTCCAGTTCCTGAAGGCTCAGACGTTTGGTCACGCTCTTAGTTGAACTCATTATATTATATATTTCAAATTCCAAGTTATTTATGCTCTCGATTGGGATTCCCAAGACTCTGAACTTGTCTGTATCTCTATCTCTCATGTCAGCTCTATCGATCACATACACGTAGCTCCGTTTATCTTCGCTGTCCACCCTAAGACTCACATGGAATAGGACATTTCGCAGGCCATGGCGGCTCAATCGGGCCAATGTCGTCAGCCATCGGAACCGCTCCTGGGGCCACTTTCTGCCTTCTGGCATATACAAAGGCCAGGAGAGGTTAACATCCGGCCTCATCACGTCCAGAAAAATGTTCGAGCTCCGGTTCTCCCTTCTCGCCGCTTCGCAGGAGTTGTACAGCCTGACGACTTTCTCCTCCATGCTGTCCTTTTTGTACGCCCGGTTCTTCAGCTTCTCGAACAGAGAGTGGAACTTGGGGTTGATCTCTTCCCCAAGCGCGTCAGCAAGATATTCGAGCTTTACGTTAAACCCCTCGCTATATCGACCACTGGAATACTTGTGGAAGTCCTCGCAGGGACTCACTGACTTGTCCATGGTGCGCAGCATGCGGTCCATAATCCGCTCGTTTTGACTGTAGAAAACTCCCTTTCTCTCGGTCCAAGTGCCTCCGGTTGCCAGCGCCATAAGGCACACGATGCCGATCCAGCCGATTGTCGTTCCTCTTCGATCCATCTTCGCCGAAAAACCGACGAGATAGTTAGGCTGTCGAAATGAGCTCGGTCGTATGACTTGGAGACCTGATTAGATTGAGGCCAGCATGGGCTTAGAAAAAGCTTTCGAACTTGATAACCGGTCTCAGGCAATCCTTATCAGCTATGCTCCCCAAATGCTTGCCATATTAGAAGCACAAAAACATAAACCCAGCTAGCACATATAACATTAAAAATTAGCTTTCGAGCTATAGAAAACTAGAGCTCAGAGTCCTAACCCCCATGAATAGTCCGTAATGCTAAATAAGGACACCATTTTATTGGTCCTGCCAGCTTCTATCAGTCATAGTAAAAATTTCCGCACAGCCGCTTGCCCATCATCCGGCCCCTGCACGGCGACTTCGCTGGCACAGTGTATTTCTTTTGATGCTCAACCTGATGCTGAATCTGCTCCTGATTATAGCACTGCTCCAGCTGGTGCATCTCCTGCTGGCGCTGCTGCTGGCTAAGCATGCGCATATACTGATCGTAGTACTCTGGCTGCTTACAGAGCTGCTCCCGGCGCATCTGCATGTAGCGGGAGTAGGGATAGCCCATGCCCAGGATCTTGGTGGGTCGACTACACAGAGGCACTCCGTACGACTTCTTGGATCGCCCCTTCATCCGGAGCCGTGGCGCTTGCTCACAGTTCGAGTCAATCGTCTGCTCCGCTCCACCTGTATTCGGTCGGCTGGCGTCCACGACCAGGATGCTACGGGGTCGTCCACTGTAACACCGGCGTACTGCCTGTGGTTTTGGCGTTCTGCGGACCAGAGATGGAGTTTTCTTCGAGGAGACCTCGGGCTTCGGTAGCTTTCGTATATTTACTGCCGATGCCTTTGGAGCTCTCTTGGTCGGCTTCTGGATTCTGCGACGTCTTCGGTGGACTCCTGTTGGTGGCTTCCTGTTGACTTGTGATGGCAAGGTCTTGGGCTGCCAAAGAGGAGCTCGAGACTTTTGCAGCTTCTCCGGCTGCTCGGTGTTCTCAAGCTGTACCTGTACCTTCTTCGCCTGCAACTTCTCATGAAACTTCATGGCCGATGTCTTGGCTCTCTCCGCTCGCACAGCCGCCTTGGTCAGTTCCACCATGGCCGGCTTGGCCCAGATCTTTCGCTCAACCTTCTTCGGCAGGGAGACGCTGCTCTTCTTCGCAGAAGGCTCTGCGTGGTGATTGGGATCCCTGGCCAGCTGCCAGTCGCTGTTTAGGGGCCATTCTCCATGCTCCGCAGCCTGAAGCGAAGTGCTGGCGGCCACGATGGTTTGCTTGGGATAAAAGTACTTCCGCAGGGCGTGGCTGGAATCCAAGTTGGAGGACCAGTTCCTGGCGGATCTCGAATGGGTCATTGCGGCTGTATTAACAGTTAATTTGGTTCAGTTGGGAAAGAGCCAAATGGATTCGATCGATTTCTAAATTTATATAAACTAAGTAAATGAATGTAAGGAAATTAGAAAGGATGTATGACATGTGAAGTGAAAATCGAGGAGTATGTGATCGAGTCCCCCGAAAAAGTCACAACCACATTTATTGGCCTGAGCTCTGACCCCTGACTGCCGAGTCCTGAGCCGTGAGGTCTGACCCCTGTTGTGTTTTTCGTCCGCATCCCTTCCACAGATGGACAGACAGTAAATCGGTTCGTGGCATTAATGCAAATAAGTGGAAACACAAATATTTTCAACGTTTTTGTGGTAACAACAGCTACGCACAGAGGGGCAGGGAGGTAGGAAGGGGAAACCTTTTTTTTTTTGGGACAGCCGACAGCCGACAGCGGGTCGATGGATCATTTCCGCTCTCCTGGCTCGTGTCCCTGCTCAGGGGTCCCTTTTCCGCAGCCCGTATTCCGTATTTCGTATTCCGGCGTATCCGTAGTTGTGTGCCCGTTTCCTTAAATATTGAAATTTATATTTAAAATATTTCAAATATACAGTTAAATGGCGAGTTCCCCCCGGTTTTTGCCGCTCTTTGGCGCTGCCCTCGCATTTTTCACTTTAGTTTATGTGGAGCATGTTTAATTTATGAGAATTGCCGGTCCCAGGCCAGGCCCAATCTCTTCCCCCAAATCGGCATTGGACACGGCCACGGCCTCCGCATCGGCATTGGCATCGTAATCGCAATCGCTCAGAGCCGCCGTATGCCAATGAATATGAAAAATCAATTTGAAGTTTTGTCGGTCCCCGCCACCGACACCGAAGGTCAAATGGTGGTGTGCCGGGTCTTAAATCGCCCGAAAACGAAACGTGGCGAATTGGTATCACAGAGGTTGCCATCTTGGTCTTTTAACCCCACAAAGTAAGATACAGACTTGGGACTAATTCGATTGTTACATTTCGCATTAATTTCCTGCAAAAGAACAAACATTTGTGACGTTTTCTCGGAGAGGGTCAGTGTCTGTCTCATCCGGTTGTTGTCCTTTCCTCCCCTTGATTTCACCCTCGATTTCCAATTAGCAACAGAAATCACCTTTTCTTTCGCCCTTCGCTCCTGTGTTTCTTGCCGTGTTAATTGAGGATTTGCACTTGCCACGATTTTATGTTCATTGAGTTTCGGGCAGAGGCCGAGTGGGAGAACTTTAATTTCGTGCAAACGCAAATTCTTTTCGCCCGGCCAAACTTCTTCGATGGCGCAATAAATGGACGGCTAAGGAGGCAGTCAAGGACTCGGACACGCGCAGGATAATTGTAATGCCTGCGCACTTCGCCCTGCCCCTTGCTGCTCTGGTCTGGGAAAATCTACAAGCAGGAGAGGGAGAGGGAGCTTGGTAGGAGCAACCCGAGATTTTGGACAAGTTTTATGGATGGCGAGGATTGCATTTCCTGTTTGGCAGGCAACAATGCAGGAAACCGGAAGCGGGAGAGCCAAGATGCCGGCTCGGGGTGAATTCCACGGATCCGCGAATCCAAGAATCCCAGAATCCACGAATCCACTTAGCGGCGCATAAATTTCGCTCGGTACATAAAGTACAAGTGTACAAACAAAAGGACATTTGGCGCACGGCATTAAAAACATAAAGCAACCGCATCAAGGACCAAGACCAGGACTCGGCCCTGGATGATCCGGGTCACATAAACAGCGGCGAGTGAATAAAATCGCAACCGCATGCAAGATGGCGAGCTGGAGATGGTGATGGAGATGGAGAAGGCGCAATCCCGGGCCAAGTCAGGCCTGGGCCGGGGACACCGCATTGCTATTTACAAAATGTCCTCGAAGCGGCCAAGAGGAGCGACGGAGTGAATCATAAAGAGTCCTTGCTGCTGAGTCTGGAGCTGAAGCTGAAGCCGAGCCGGAGCCCAAACCGAGGCCGAGGCTGGAGCTGGCATGGGAAATGCACGTAAAATAATAAACAAGGCTTTGCAAACAATAAATGTGGCACCCACTCGCCCCCTGCCCTCGGCCTGCTCCTGCGGCACATCTCTATTCTTACCACATCTGGCAGCTGCAATGCTACGAGTTGTTAGCGACGCTGGCGACGAGATTTCTGCCCGTCCATTGTTAGACCCCGCTTCCATCTCCTGGTGCTCCTCCTCTGCCGCTGCGATAAATGCGAAATGCTTGTAACTGCAATGCAAATGTAATGTGCAAAGGACATTTTACTCGGCTGCAGTTGGTCATCCCGCCTCCTTCTGCGCCATCTCCTCCCTCAGGCAGTAAATATTCGCACAGAACGGGTTCAGGGGTGATGGTGTTAGGGGCCTGGTCAGGAGTGGCCGGCAGAGAGGTCAGCCTCTGACGAGTGGCCACGCCACCCATCCAAGTGGCAACGCACGGCAGACGCCGCTGGCGGCGTCCTTATTAATTGCAACAATAACCGGGGCGACACTGTCCCGCCACCTGAAGAAATCGGGGACAGCCAGGTGAATATAAGCAGCAAGAAAATACCTGATTGAGTGGCCAAAAGATGTAACAATTTAAACAATAATCGAAGATATTAAAATTTGTATCTAAACAAAACCATCTTGCATGCCAAGGATATACTCTCCTTTTCTCTCACTGCACTTGAAGCCGGTTGAAGCAGGAGGTTCGGTAATGGGGCCAGCACCGTAAGTCTTTCAGCTTTTTGCCAGCAAATTTATGGCTCGGACCTGCAGCTTTTTGTGCGACCAGCGACCATCCCGGCACCGGAAGCGGCACTTAGCTCTTGGCACTCTGCGCCGCTTCCCCCTGCCATTATGTGCACCTCCAGTGTTCATCATCCGCCGGTGGGCAGGGTGGAGGCTGCCACTGCATCCAGTCCACTCCAGCTCCAGCGGAATACACTCACTGATAAGTAATTGAGGGGGCTTCCATTTCTTTTTTTTTCGGGGGCCGCGGGCCTCGAGTGGGCGGAATTTGGGGCAAAAGTTTGGAGCTGCCTGCGGCAGTAAAAACAATTCGTATATCAAAATTTCAATGCTCTTTCTTACCCCGTGTCTAGTTTTTATGGCGAAAGGCCGCGCAAAACATTTAAAAGCAATAAAGAGCGATGCAAATGTTATCGGTAGAAGCTCGCGGTGCCGCCGAGGCAGCGGGAGAAATTACCAAACGCGAATGGCGAACAGATTCCCATCCTTGGGCCCGGCGCAGGTATTCAAATTAGAGAGATCTCGCTCAGGAGTGAAATGAGGCAAAAGCTGTTGGCCCTGGTGGCCGTAAAAAGTGCCGACGACGACGAGGACCATAAAAACTCAGCCAAATGGGTGGGAGTGGAGGAGTGAGGCTGCAGGTGAGGTGAGGTTAGGCATCCCCGGGAAGGGCCAAAAGTGCCGGGCCGTGATTTCGGGGTTTTTTTCCGGTGTCGTTTTACCCGTGCAAATAAAATGAAAATGTACTCGCTGCGAGTTTCGTAGAAAAAGTTTATTTTAATGAAATTCGCACCGACATTTGACGGTGGTCCTGCTCTGGGGGCTGAGGTTGAGTTCTCAGCCGGAAGTTTTTGGAGTTGGGTCTCATGTTTGATTGTTGGCCCCGCAAATGGGAGGCGTCGTGGCCAAAGGGATACGCAATCGCGGGTTAACTCTTGCCGGCCCCGGTGAAGTCAGCAATTGTCTTAACATTTATTCAATTTGACTACCTAGGAGATCGTAAAGTTTATTTGCTCCCGCTGCCTGTGAAGTTTTCCTTAGCCATTTGCCATATTTCCTCCCACTCCCTTTTTTTAGCGGCCATAAATCTGCGACACAAAGGCAAAAGCAACCACCGCAAACATGGCCAACATTTTCGGGGTGGGAAGTTTGAGTTAAACATTTTTAAAAGCCATAAATTTATTGTTCTTGTTGGTGCGGTGCAGTCAAGTTGAAAAACGCACAAGTAGGTCGTCGTCGTCGATGTTGCTGTTGTTGTTGTTTGGCTGTTGTTCGTGCTGCTCAGTCGCTTATTTAATTCGATTTGTAAGCTAATTCCTGAAATATTATCTGGAAATGCTCAAGATGTAGGCAAAGATATCGCAATGAAATTAATACATTGCCGGAAATGAGTGGCTGAAACTTCCTGAGTAACTTCTAAGCCAGATGAGCAATAAAACTGGCTGTACCTTAAAGTATTTATGCTATTGATCGACCTTTCAGTAATTGTAAAGAGACTTAAGTCCTTTTTTATTTCAAACCTGCTTTCCTTCTCTTGTTAAACTCCTCTTTAGCGCTGGAAAAAGTTACCTCGGCATCAAAGTTCTACTCATTGGCCAAAGTGGAGGCTAAATAATTTAATTATAGAAATGCAGAGATGGTGTCGGATGACTCTGACAGTTTCCTACATTAACTATGCAGAGTAAAAGGCAACAACCTTGAGACTTATTTTTAATTACACTTTCACTTCGCTGGACGGAGGGACGGAGATCTCCGAAAGCCGAGACCGGAAATCAATAAATATGTTCGGCCAGACTCAGCATAAAACATTTGCCTCATAACATTATCTTCGGCGTCTGTGTCTCTCTCTCTCTCTTTTCGGAAGGGATTTTCCGCTTGTAGAGGAAATGTGCATCTTGCCCTGGTGCCTGGGTCCTAGTCCTTGTCCTTTTGCTTCTGTTTCGCTTTTCACTAAAACAAAAACATCAGAAAATAACAAAATACAAAAAAAAGGACAGCCGGAGGCGTAAGCTACTTGAAAGTTTAGAGGAAGTAACGGAGGAGCTGGCAGTTACTGCCTTTTTTCGAAGCACTCATTCATTCATTCGTAAAGGCTTTAGCAGTAAAATAAACGCGCATTGATGCGGAAAATGTGCTACGCACGACGGTGACGCCTCAGCCTTGAGTACGCCCCCTGCCCACTCAGCTCCCGCCCACCCCGAAAGAGGAGGCAGTGCTTCCTTTCAGGTGGGGTGGGTGAGCTGGCTTGATGGCATGCCAAACTCAGAAGCGATACATTTCCTTTGTGTTATTTTTTGGAAACTTTTAAAGTTGCACTTGAGTGCCTAAGCTGACGCCGGAACGGAACGGGGTGAGTGTCGCCGGCAGGTAAGGAGTACTTACAGTAGTTACCCGGGGTGGTAGAGGTGTCGGAGCCAAGGCCACTTCA